AGATGGGAAGCTAAACACTAGTGTTTACAGAAAACCCACACATTCAAACAGATATTTGGATTTCCGATCATCCCATCCTATGTCAGTAAAAATAGGATTAGTGAAATGTTTAAATGACAGAGCACAAAAACTAAGTAGTACCAAGGAAAATCTAAGACAGGAAGTGACACACATAAAAGAAGCCTTGAAACTTAATAATTACCCGGATAAATTAGTCAAGAAATATGTAAGTAAATGTAAAAATAAAATAAAGAAGGATAACAGAGATAGTGATAATAATAATAATGATAACAATAATAATAATAACAATAATAATAATAATAATGGTAATAATAATAGTGATAATAATAATAATATTAATAACGACACCAACAATAAGGAATGTAAATCATCAACAATAATTCCATACAAAGAAGGAACCTCGGAAGCCTTACGCAGAATTCTTAACAAGGCAGGAATAAAAGTGGCATTCAAACCCACAAACTCAATTAGAAACAAGCTTTGTCGGTTAAAGGATCCTGTAGAGCCATTAAAACAAAACAATTTAGTTTATCTAATACCCTGCAATGATTGTGAGGTCAAATACATAGGTCAAACTAGTAGAACAGGGGCAGTCAGACTAGCCGAACATAAAAACCTAGCTAAATCTAGATTGGTTGACCCGAATAAGATAAGAAATCTAGAGAGTAGTTCAGCTATAGCACTACATGCAGTTACACACAACCATACAATAGGATGGGATAGGATGACAGTTTTAAAATCTAATGTCACAGGGTATAGGGAGAGATTGATAACAGAAGCTTTGTTTATCGAATCAACCGCAAATACATGTAATAGGAATGATTCAACACCTGTCCCAGATATATGGAAAATTCTACTGCCCATACAACAAATAGGAGAAGGCAGAGAAAACTATAAAAATCAAATCTCGAAGTCGTGTGACAAAAATGGATATGATTATGAACAATAAATTGTGTTCGAAACGTCATCCAGTATACAATACTGTTTCACTGTGTGATACATTTAATAATCAAACTAATATGGAATTACTTAATACCACAGTGCCCAAGTTTTACACATATATTAATATTTAACATACTTACCCACAGAGAGGTCATTTTTGGACAAAAAAATCAATATATGCATACAATGGTAATAATAATAATAATCACTTTATCCCAAACGACAACAATAATAATCAATACAGAATGGAATCTTTTTGGCATTACGTAACCAAATAAAAGAGGAGATGAAAACATTCAGTTACCTACCAGGTGGTGGGCAAGAAAAGGCTGATTAACCGCTTCTTTCTGAACGCATAAATCGGGTTTCAGGCGCTTGATGGAGATTGCTTCGGCAAACTAACTTGTGGAGGATTGAACTCTTTTGACTGTTGATAATTTTGAGTGATCTTGCGATGTCCACCTCATAAACCACCGTGTCAACGAGATGCCTGGTAATGGCACTATTGTAACCATTTGTTCCTTTGAGACGTAGGCGTTTTGGTACACGTCCTGAAAGTCAGAGGTATACCCTTCTTCTTTCTGTTTGCCCAGTTTAACTGTTCCCACAGATACATGTAAATTTGCATACACAGTTGAAGTTGTTAACATGATAAGCGGGTATCTGTCGACTTTTGATTACACCAAAGATGAGCATGTTGTCCGATAAACGGGAACCAACTCACTTAGCTACAGGATGATAGGCTCTGCTCTGACTGATAACATACCCATCTCCTATTGATTTTTCCTGAAATATCATCCCCTTTAAAATCAAGTTCAATGAAGATAGGCTTTTTTTCCCACTGTGATTTGTTTGTCATTTGAGTCTTCACATCTTCCATTTCATGTGTTTTGAAAGAAGCGGTTATTAGTCTTTCCTTGCCCAGCAACTGGATGTTTTCATCCTTTCTCTGCCATTTGATTACATAATGCCAAGAAGATTCCATTCTGTGTGATTATTATTGCTGTTGTTTAGGATAAAGTGATTTTTATTATTACTATTAGTATTATTATTATTACCATTGTATGCATATATTAACTTTTTGTTTATCAATGAACTAACTCTCTCTGTATGTATGTAAGTATGTTAAATATTGTTTCTGTACATAATAAACTTAATAATAATAATGCCTTTAGGCTGTGTTAGTTAGTTAGCAGCTGGGTTGATGAGATGCCAACGAACGAAATAAACAAAGGATGGTAGCATCTTATTATTTATTCTACACAAACCATTGTTGTTATTGTTGTTCTAGCTTTATTCAAATTCATAAAAAAGGAATAAATGTATGGAAGTTTCTGAAAAATCGCACACGCACCACACAACCCCCCCCCGGCCGGCTGAACAAATGAGCTTGTCGTATGAATTTGTTTTTACGAGTTGATCATGGATTGATATCAGTTAGAGAGAACCATTGAAAACCACCAATGGAGTACTGAGAGATAACTGTTTCATCAGCGTAGTTTGGGAATCTTCGGCAGTGCGCACCCACACCACTGTCAGGGTTCGAACCCACGACTTCAGCTTAAAAGAAAAGCTTGTATACCTTCTAGTCACTGGGACCCGATTTCGCAATGGCCACTGACCATGAATTCTAACTTTACCAATTCGTGATTTAGCGCGACCTCAACCATTGTCGTTGGTGGGACATTCATCCACACACGTGACATCTGCATGGACCTCACTGGTCACGACTTCTCACTAGAACTGACTCAATGAAACTCCATCCTGTAGCAAGTCACTACTAGCGAGCATCAGATTAATTTTCTATAGTTTGGTTTGTAAGGGTTAGTTTCGTTTTTACGAGTTGATCATGGATTGATATCAGTTAGAGAGAACCATTGAAAACCACCACTGGAGTACTGTGGGACAGCTGTTTCATCAGCCTAGTTTGGGAGTCTTCGGCAGTACGCCAATGCAGTAGTCCCTGATTTTACAATGGTTCTCTGACTGATATCAGTCAATCAACTCGTAAAACATAAGTAACCCCTACAAACCAAACTATAGAAAAGTATGAATTTGTCAATTTCATTTCGTATTGTTGCTTGATAATTGTATGAAATTCTTTTCTTGGACGTAATCTACTGATACATATTCAACTGCTGATGGTATATATGCTGTTATTTTGCTTGTTGTAATCAGGGTACATATTAGGCATAGGTATTTAAACACTGAATTTCGAAAACACAATTAACCAGAACACATGTATTGGTTTGTAGGGATTTGGTTGACTGGTTACAGGATTACATCATGAGCTGACATGGGTTGGTTAGAGAACTATTGAAAAACCTGGGGGTACTGGACAGCTGTTTCATCCTATTTGGAAATCTTCAGCAGTACATACCCACCGGGATTCGAGCCCAGCACCTTCTGGTTACAAGACGGGCGAGCTTGTAGACCATTCAGCTAGCCACTGGGACCCGATCCAATGGCCAGCCCATGAATTATAACTTCTGCCAATTCACGATATAGCGCAACCGCTAGCCATTGTCATTGCTGGTGAGTATTTGTCCTCACACCCAACCTGCTGCACCCTACTGCTCACGACTGCTAAAAAGTCCCAAACTAGGACGAAACAGCTATGCAGTACTCCCGGGTTTTCCAGTGGTTCTCTAACTAATGTCAGCTCATGATGAAATCCTGTAACTAACCACAACAAAATTTAACAGTATAATAGCTGTATTCTGAAACAATGTTTATATAATGTACAAAATTTCCATTGTAGTTGATTGCATGATATTTTTTCATCAAGTCAGGATCTTCAAATAAATGACTGATTTTTCGAGTTTGTCCACGGATTGATATTAGTTAGGGGGAACCATTGAAAATCAGCCCTGGAGTACTGAGAGACAGTACTGAGAGACATCAAACTAGCTTGGGAATCATCGGCAGTAGGCCCTTACAAACTAGGCCCTTACAAACCACCAATAGAAATTTAATCTAATGCTCGCTAGTGACTTGCTCTACAGGACAGAGTTTCTTGGAGTAAGTTCTAGTGAGAAATCGTGACCAGTGAGGTCTAGCCAGTCTTGTGTGAGGATGAAGTTCCGCCGATGACATTGCTTGATGCCAGTCGCGCTAAATACATCACGAATTGGTAGAAGTTAGAATTCATGGGCTATGGCCATTGAATTGGGTCCCAGTAGCTGAATGGTATACAAACCATTTTGCTTCGTAACCGGAAGCCCCTGGGTTCGAACCCCAGTGAGGTGTATGTGTACTGCCGAAGATCCCCAAACTAGGCTGATGAAACAGTTGTCTGTCTGGCAGCACTCCACTGGTGGTTTTCAATGGTTCTCTCTAACTGATATCAATCCTTGGTCAAACTCGTATGAACAAATCCTAATCCTTACAAACCAACTTTAGAAATTGAATAAGAGAAATTTTATGCAATATATGTATATACTGGTGGAAGTTTTTGACAGCTCATATTTCAAGTAGGTCGCCAATATTTTATATTTTATGTATTTCTTTTCAATCAAAAAAATTTATATTATTAGGATTCGAACCCAGGACCTTTCGGTTACAAGGCAAGCTCGTATATTATTAAATATTAAAATCAAGCTGTCTGGGTTAGCAAACGTGTGATCATTGCCTACCACATCGGTAATAGTAGTTGTTCACCCATTCAGCACACATACATGTGCACATATATCCGTGAAAGAGAGGAGACGAGGTTTCATTTTTCGGAAATCATCGTATATTCCACCCTCCCCCCGACTCCGTCTCCCTCCCTCTCTCTCTCCCTCTCTCTCCATTTCCCCAATTTCTACACCTATTTATATAATGTGAAATATTTCTGAGAACTACTCACAGTGTAGATAGACACAGGAAGGGAGATAGAGAGAGAGAAAGCGCATAAATTAAAATACATTGCATTATCTCCACTATCAGTTGTTGTATAATACAGATGGTGATGATGATGAATAATCTTCATCCTGTTCCTCGTCCTCTTCTTGTGTGTTTTCCCCCTTTCAAAATTTTTTTTCTTTTTCTTACAGCTGTCACTGCTGCACGTGTATGGGTGTTGGAAAGAGCCTGTTTTCAAACGATTATGATGAAAACTGGTCTGGAGCGTATTGAAGAACGTAAAGCATTTCTTCGAAGGTATATACTATTATTATTATTGTGTTTTTTTATTGATTTTGAGATCTTCCCGTCCATTGATTGATTGTACCGAAGTGTTCGGTCTCACTCAGGTTGACATGTCGGCGGCTTCGTGTGGTACAGATGCTTCGACGATGTCTGGGCACTTAGTTAGAATTTAATTGGTGGATGGTGACCAGCAATGGAATCCAGGATAAAGCGCATTTCGTCCTACTTGGGACTCGTCAGCCACTGGATGTACCTGCATTTCTCAGGAGTGATGATGTTCCCACCGAGGCTCCATCCCAGTACCCATAGTTTCAAACGCCAAAGCGTTATCCACTTTGCGGACGAGTCCCAAGTAGGACGAAATGCGCATCTTGGGTTCCACTGTTAGTCACCATCCACCAATTAAGTTATTATTATGTCTTCTTATTTATTATGTGATGTGTGTATTCATGAAGTATTGCGCCTTTCTTTTTTAATATAGCAAAAAATATTTATTCAGACATTTATAAAACACAAAATAATTGAGCAAAGAGTATCCTTTGAGACAATTTCCTCTTCTGGCTCTACAATTATATATGCATGTTTATATACACAGAATATTCTTGATTAGTAGTCAATAACAATATTAGTGTTTAGTTTAAATAATATCGATATGTTAAGTAAGTAAGAACCAATCGCCAACCAACAAATATGCAGGAGAAAGTGGAGATGGATCGGACACTCGCTGAGGAGACCGCTGGGTGACATCGCGCGTCAAGCTCTCGAGTGAAACCCGAAAGGGAAGCGGCGAGTGGGACGTCAGTACAAGGGTGACATGGAGGAGATCTTGTGAAGAGGAGTTGAAAGAGTATGGACTAACATAGATTCAGGTGAAAAGTACAGCAGAAGGAAGACAGAAGTGGCAAATGGAGACGTGCAGTTGAAGTCCTATTTTCCACTAGGAACTCAAGGGAACAATAATTATAATAATATAGGCCAGCCTCAGCAATATTTAGTAGTCGAACTCTTAAGGTAAAATTGAGATTCGTAGGTAATGCGGTAAATGATCCTAAATGCATGGTTAACGTCAATCTTGTGTTCTGTATCCACAAGATGAGATAGAATAGAGCTAGCTACGAATAGATTTTGTTTGTCCTTTGCTTAACCAGCCACTAAGCAGGGTGATGTCCAAGAATTCGAGGAGAAACATGCCTAATTGTACGGCCTATGCAACTAACTGGTTCACTCCACAGGAGCAGTTAAATTGGTAGATACACATAGAAAGAAGAGGCGAAATTAGTCAGTTTGTCTTTTCCTGGCGAACGCAAAAGAGGAGTTGTTTTAAAGATACAGCGTAATTCAGCAGCAACACTGAATGCTCTTCGCTTTACCGCATTTCTAAGTCGCTGTGTTTGTATCTCGCTGGTGTTGTTGCCTCCTAGGAACTGCATTTGTAAGAATAAGGCCTTTTTTTGGGTACTATTGGTAACTCGGGCTGCTTTGGTTTTAGATTCATATTCTTATCAATAAACTTTTCTGGATAAGCATTTTCACTTGAGCCCGAATAGCTCAATGGTAACATCTCTGACGTGGGTTTTTGAATCTCAGAAGGGATATGAGTTCCTTCAAGGCAGCTGCAGATGCGCCTTGCATACTGGTGGTGACTGCCAACTAGCACGAAACCTAGGTCACATGGGGTTTCCTGTGACCGATTGCCTCCAACCATCTAACACGGTGTTATACACTTATTCTCTGGTGTGTAGTTGTGCTCTCTGAGTTGGATGGTATACTTGTGAAGCTTTCATTGGCCCACCACTAGGCAACATCTTCAGCGTATCATAGTTCAAGTTGAAGTCAGCTTTGAAATTTCGCCACGTATCGGTGGCATGGCGGTTGGGATGCTCGTCGACCATGCACACATGGTCTGGGGTTCGATCAATGGTCAGCCTACTAAGTTTGGACTTCCGATATCATATGCTGAAAATTCCATACATGTACCAAAAAGTACTGTGTGGAATCAAGCTATAACAAAATTAAAATTGCTAGTCATCTCTCCTGGTCACTTTGGTCATCGTGATTGGTTGTTTTTGTGTGCTTTCACACCTTCACTAGCTTCCTTGTACTGATTGTTTCCTTGACCTGAATTTTGATCCTTTGTGTGTGTGTGAGATTTCCTTCTTATCGATTGGTAATTATCGTTTATGTCAAACTTCAGGTCAAGGAAACAATCAACACCATTACCACTACAAGTAGCCTAGAAGATGTGAAAACACACAAAAACAACCAATCATGACTTTCAATGTCGCCCACCAGGAGAGATGACTAACAAACACTCGTGGAGAAATCTAAAAGCTCACTTCAACAAATTGAAGTATGCACTGAAGCGAAGATGTTCGCAAATAAACCATCCAGCTAGCGCAGTGAACACAACCACATCAAAATCATCCACTTGAGCTATAAATCTTCTCCATTATATTCAAGTGTTGGTTTGAGTGGTTACGGGATTTCATCATGAGCTGACATTAGTTAGAGAACCATTGGAAAACCTGGAAGTACTGGACAGCTGTTTCGTCCTAGTTTGGGACTCTTCATCAGTACGCACCCACCGTCGGGGTTCGAACCTAGGACCTTCTGGTTACAAGGTCAGCTAGCTCGTAGACCATTAAGCCACTGGGACCCGACCCAATGGCCCATGAATTCTATTTTCCATTATACTTAAACACGTATTCTCTATTTATGAATTTGAATTAAGCCCCCCAGAAAAAACTAATATGGTGGTTTGTTCAGAATACGATAATGATGATGTGTTAGCGTCTGTCTTGTCGGTTCCTTTACAACTGTGTAAAACCTTAAAAAAGTGATGAATAAAGGTTGTATACAGAGACATGTACGTCCAAAGTCGCGATGCGACATGATTTCAGTTTATAGGCAACTCTAAAATTAACAAAAGCTGTACACAGAAATCAGACAGATTGCTCAGTTTTCAGCAGAATAAAATTAAGAAAAAATTGTAGTGAATAATGTTTTAGACAGAAGGGAAAAGGGGTCGCGTAATAATGACAGCAAGTGTAGGGTAAGTTGAGTGTTATGTAACAATATGGTGAGTAGAACTCACACTATGGAAGCCAAAAAAATCACAAGCAAAATTACAATGTATCAAAAGTGGAAAAGATTAAAGCAAAAGATTACTTAATCAAGCAAAAGACAGAGCTATCAAAGCAAAGAACAACTGACAGATAACTAGCTAATTCTTTCTTAACACATAAATTATCAGAGTGTGCTCGTGGTTGTCGTCTGAGTAGGTGATCGGAGTAGATTACTAACTCACCACCAGTTGACACTTTCCATGGTCCAAATCCATTCCATCTACTCTCGCAGATTTCCAATACTTCTACACCATATTTTTTCATTTCTTTGGCTACGTGGACAACCTTCCCAGCCAGTCTCGTACATTGTACGAATATTCCATGTCCCCATTTTTATTCTTACTGGCTGGTTGGCTGACTGACTGGCTTCTCGAAGGCTGGCTTTCACCAGGCAGTCCGCTATGTCAAATCGCCTCTCTGATTCCAGCGAAGAATGAGTTTCCGTATCAGTGTGATTGGTTTTCTGGGGTAGGGTGGCTAGCCCCCTCCCCGCCAACCACCACACCCAACCCTCCCTCTTTTCCTGGACTTGGTACCGGCTAGAAAACTAACGAGCCAGTAAACTAGGCAAGGTTAAAAGAATATGTAATCAAATAGAAGACAGAGTTAAAACATCGAGTTACCAAGGCAAAGAATGACTGATAACTAACTCCTTCTTTCTGAACACACAAATCAGATTATAAACCTTTTACAGCAGTTGCTTGGGGAGATAAAAATTATGCTTTCTATTGATAATTTTAAAGGTTTTCAAGTTGTGCACCTCATGAACAACCTCCACACCAGGTCCTCTGGTGAAATCCAACTAGGAAACGACGAGTTGGGCGTCCTGGATCGTGTGTGTGTGTGAGCGGGGGGAGGGGGGAATTAAGGTTTACCTGAAAGTGATTGCGCCGAACAAAGTGAAATAGAGATGTATTACTGAAGCTTTATATTCTACGAAGAACCCAAGAGAATCATCATAATAATGATAGTAATAACCTCATGGCCCGTATGGTTATGATGCCTGGCAATTAGCTCTACTGGTACAGTTTGTCCCCTTGAGACAGATATAGGCTTCCTGGTACATATTCAGAGAATCTATAGTGTACCATCCTTTCTGTTGTATGAATATAGGCTTCTTGTTCACTATGATTAGGTTTCCTGGCTGTCACCCAGCTGGTTCGGGTTCGACTCCCAGCGCAGGAGCGCTTTTGAGTGCATCTGTGGCACAGCGTGGTAAGGAGTTCGATCCACAGCCACTGGACGCACTCCCGAACCTCGCTAAGCCAGTAGCCAGTAAGACTGGTAAAGAGGAAAGGTTGTCTAGGCATGAGGCTGGTTAGCAAACTCATCGCGCAAAAAATAAACACCAAGACTGCTACTGAAACTGCAAGCCTCTAGCTTGAAGCCACCCTATGTGTCCCACCACTGGGAACGTAAAGCAATTAAAAAAAAATGGTTTGTGTTGTTGCTGTGATTTGAGTTGAACTCTCACCACATTGTTACACAACTTATTATTAGTTGTCTATCATCTACCTATCCGCCTCTTGTCTTGATTACACAAAACTTCTTTTCCACAGAATTCAAACACTGATTATAATTGTTGCGGATTTTTGTTAACACTTGAACCTCTTGTGTTGTATAAGTTGACGAGTATCCTGTTAAACTGACATTGTGTACATAAATTCCAAGAAAGAAGCGAAGCTGACGGTAATAAAGTCATGGGACATCATCTTATTCTGCACAGACTATTTTGGTTTTCTGTTTTACTCAGGTGTATATGGAAATAACTTCCAGCTTGAATGCTCGGCCCTCAGGAATTAAGTTTGTAGGGGTGTGATTTATTCCACTTTTGATCACAGATTGATATAAGTTACTGAACTATGGAAAAGCAGAAAGTACTGTACTGGACAGTTGTTTCGTCCAAGGTTGGCACTCTTCATCGGTACGGACCAAGCGGGATTCTAAAGTAAGATAATTCGGTTACAAGGCAAGCTTGTAGACCATTCAGCTACTGGGATCCTATCCATTGGCCAGCCGATGAAGTCAAACTTCTACTGATTCGTGATTTTAGCACGACTAACACCAGCCGAAGTCATCGGTGGGTATTTTTCCTCACGCGTAACCTGGTGGGCGACCCCACAAGCTTTCATTGTAACCACAAGGTCCTGGGCCTGAACCCTGGTGATGAAGAGTCCTATACTAGGACGAAACAGCTATCCAATGCAGTAGTGTCTGATTTCGCAATGGTCCTATGACTTAAATCAGTCTGTGATCATATTTGAAATGTGTTCAGCGCTTACTTCAGAATGAAATGAACATTTGAAATTCCTCATGTCTTCACAGGTTTCTATAGACAACTATTTTTAATTACTTTGTATATAGTACGAGTTGTTTAGTCAATGTGTCACTGACAGTTGAGTATGCTGTCATATCATTCGCTCTTTATTGATTACAGTTTGATAGCATCAACAAAACAATAAACTGAATGTCAGCAAAAGGAAAAAAGGAAAGATAATATTACAAATTCATGAATTTATAGTCTCTACTGAAGGTCAGCCAGGGCAATAGTAGTGGCTGGCTGAGCTCGTTTCTTTTGCACACAAAGCATAAGTTGTTTCAGGTGAATCGCGATAGCTTCTGCTCTTTGGAATATGCGATAACTCGACCTTTTTGGGCAATTCATTTGGTACCCGGTAGGTGATGATGATAGAGAAGGATTCTTCAATGCTGGGTGACTTTGTAGCGAGCCGGTTTGGATCAGATGGTCTAATATCGAACTGTTGATGATAGTTTTCACTAAACCTTTGCATAGCCATACTGGCGGGTGTATCCCGAGGGAGCACGAAAAATCAAGTTCCTAGAGCAATGGCCAATATAGAACTAACTCTCTCCACCAAAAGCGCAGTTAAATTGGTAGATATAATTAGAAGTGACTAAGCTAGTGTAGGTACCCCCAATCTTTCAATCGAGAAATCACCATCTGTCGTGTAGAGAATGAGACATGTAGTTTGCCAGCATTAAAGTCCTTTGATGAATAGATTTTCTTAACTTGTTGTTAGTGTGCGCCACGCTTGAATTGCAGTCGTATTTACAGATGGAGAATAGTTTTTTTACCGCTTTCTTTGTCGTCTGTTTCTTGATAAATTTGTCGGGATAGCTATTTTCAAATCAATCTACTGATTGTTTGTTATTACACTGTTATTAATTTGACTTTTTTTTAAAAAAATTTAATGTTTTATTATTATTTATCATCATAGTGTCCCACTGCTTAAAGATTTATCACCGAATCGTATACTACGTATAGCCGATGCATTAGAAGCCCAATATCATTCAGCTGGAGATTGTATAATTCGACAAGGTGAACTGGCAGACAGCTTCTTCCTTATTCAATCTGGAAAGGTAAACACATATTATATGTGATATTTTTGGTAAACTTACCAATGTGTAACAACATTAATGTTTTTGGATATTTTGTGTGGATATTTTCTGTTTTTTTTTAAGTTGCTGTAATCACTCATGTAGATAGAGTAGCTTGATATATATATATATATATATTGTTATGTACTTGTCGCCAAATTATTGTTATGTACTGGTCGAGAATTTAATAGTCCTGACGCAAGAAAGACGGAAATCAGAAGACCACTAGGTTTGCGATGATACTTCTATATTCCAAACACAAGGAGAATCAATGTCACACGATTGTGTGAGAGCAAAATATATATGAATGTCCAAACAAGTGTGTGAACAAATCAATAGACATTCTTAACATGATTGGCTAATTATAATGGAATATTGATCCATATATACCTAGCAAATATAACAGACTGTCAAACAAACACACATATTATATGGATATATATATATCACCAAGATCAGACTGTCAACAAACACACATAATATATATACTATAAGGGGAATATACATTGTTAAAGGAGACAGGTTCATCAAAGTGAAATGGTCACAGACTAAGAGAGCAACAGAAAGAGAGACCACCATACACATATATATATATATATATATATATATATATATATATGGATACATATCATATATATACACACTTCTTAGTGGCGAGTTGTAGAATGTGTCTTGGTGTACTGACCTGATGAATTTATATCTCCTTCGTCTTCGTGTAATGGCCCTAAACTAAATCCTTCCAAATGTTAGACTGTTAATTTCAGCTTCCGATGTAAACGAAAGTTAAATGAAGCCGTTGGTTCCCATGACGCTTGCAAAGTTGATGATAGTGACATAGAAATCAAGTCTGAAGTTAAGTAACTTGGATTAATTCTTTCTTCTGACCAATCCTGGTCTTCCCATGTCATAGCGATTTCTAAGAGAATATTTCGTCTGACTTTTTACATTCAGAAGTTGAGGCACTCATGCATAACCCAAACCCTCCTCCTCTTACATTTTGTCAATTCGTGCATCTTACCTATTCTTCTTTACTGTTTACCCTTGCTTATTCTTTCCTGGATTGCTTAACAAAGACTTTGTCATAGGACTCTGAAGACCGTTAGTAGGGTGAGTGGTATCCCATCAGGCCATATCGTTGACATCGTCAGTGATAGGCACTTGATGTCATGTAACAAATTTGCTAAAGGAATTTTGTCACACTCTGGTCACCCACTCTACTCGCAGCTCCAACCTTGTGTCTCCTCAGGTAAAACAAGTACTGTTTTGGGAATAAAGTAGATTATTATTATTATTAATAAACCTTTCTGGATAATCAATTATCAGTCGGAATTTTTGCCAGTATTCTTACCTCAACCGTCAAGTGTATCCGTGGTGTATATTTATTGAATCCTACGCAAGACGCATCTCACCAAGAGCTGTTTTGTACCGAACAGGAGAGAAGCTGTGGTAATTAATATACTATCCTATTGAGATTGTTGTCAAAATGAATTGGTTATTCAACGAGCCTCACTTCTATTATTATTGATTTAGGTTTGTAATAAAAAACTGTCTTGAAATGATTTCAATTCTTTATAAATGCAACAATCAGGTAATGCTACAAGATTGGACTACATTGACTCTTAGCTTAAAGAGATAAGGAGTGAAGTGGTTGACGGAGCATGTTGACCACTTCACTTCGCCAAAGAGTTGATTACTGACTAAATCTCAGCACGGATACAGAAAGCTCGTTTAGCATTTGCCAAACTACGTGATCTCTGGCGTAGACGTGATATCCGGCTGGCTATCGACCACCAAAGGCCGTGTCCACTACTCAGCAGTCTCTTCGTCCCCGTCCTCCTTTATGTGGCTATGAGACCTGGCCATTGGAAGTCGGAGATACAAAAAGGTTCACTGGCTTTGATCATAGGTGTCTGCCTGCATTCTATGTCTCGTATGTGTTATGTAGTATAATAAAGTGAGCAATATTGAAGTCGAGTGCTAGGAGTTAAGGAGGGAAAATCAACTGACGAGGTTATGTTGTGAAGTTACATGGATTGAGAGAGATAGTTAGGACATGTGTTACACGTGCCTAGCCATCGCCTTCTTCGACCGAAGGGCAATGTTAGCTGACACAGGATCAGGTTGGAAAAGAGTGAGCCAGTGGTGGTCAAACCAAAGCGTGGCTTCATCAGTCAATGTAGTGCACAACAGTGAGTTTAAGTCAGCCGGCCAGCTAGCCAGTCAGCCATGTATATAGGTGTAGACTGCCTGACTGGCTAGTTGGGCTCCTCGGGATGACGGTAAGAACCAATGGTGACGACTGGATATAGGTGGCTGAAAATCTATCTCAGTGACAGTGCAGATGTATTCAGTCTTGGTTATTTGTTATATCCAATTAAAACTCAATTGTTCTTCTACATGACTATTCTTTTTCCCAGGCTCACACTTCTTTTATTAATCTCTGTCTTTTGAATATCCTCCTGTCTTTACTCTCTTCTCCCTTGTTTTATGTGATCCATGAAGGGAGAGAGTGGCGACTTGAAGTGCTGTATATTTATGCAATGTTCTGTGTTGAAACCAGTCAGTCAGTCAGTCAGTCAGTCAGTCAGTCAGTCAGTCAGTCAGTCAGTCAGTCAGACAATCAAATGAATTTACGCTTAATCATTGTGATGTTCTTCGTATTATATAATTATTTCTAGTAAACAGTGGCATACATTATTTCTCTTGTATAACTTTTTTTTTTAAAATATTTTTTATTTATCTTATTAGGTTAGAGTTACTATATCTTCATCACAAAGTGGTCCTATGGAAAATAAAGAAACTGAAATAAGACAATTAGTCAAAGGTGAATATTTCGGTGAAAAAGCTTTACTCGGTGAAGGTCGACGAACAGCTAACGTGTATGCTGTTGGTCCTGGTGGTGTAGAAGTATTATGCTTATATAGAAAGTAAGTTAAAAAGGCAGGCATTTTAATTTTACTAATTTCCACTTTTGTTAAGATATATTCTCTGTTGTTAGTGTTAACATGATTAATGCAGATAAATGTAGCTAACTGGACTGTTCAAAATTTCCGTGTTTAACTCCTGAATTAAAGTCAACAAGTTACTTAACTTTATTGTGATTATTATTATTATTATCTTTGATGTGTATTATTGTATCGAATAACTCAAGCGGAAATCGTATTATAAGTGTAGATCAAAATGGGTTTCATAACACCTGCTAGGTTGAACATTATTTTTGAGTCTTCTGATTTGTGCACAGTAGAATAGACAGTTTCTTACGTGAAACTCCTCTTCTGTTTCTTCGAAACAAGAGTCAGTAACTGGGTGTAATGTGTATATCTGTGTTTGGTTCAGATTGAATTCTATCAGTCAACTTTGCAATGTCGCCACCATGCCACTCACTACTAGATGGCTCGTCATCATGTGGTGCACTGTGAATTGTTGGTATCAAGTGATTGGAGGCAATCGGCCACAGGAAAGCCTCACCTGACCTAGGTTTCGTACACTCATCAGCAAGATGTATTTGCAACCCTGAAGGAATTCATATCTCATCCTAGATTCAAACATGCGTCACCCAGTATTTTATTCAGATGTTACCGCTGAGCTATTGGCGCTCGAAACCTAGGTCCAAGGCTTCCTGCTGATTGCCTCTAACATTGTGTCAAAAGGGTAAACCATTCAGAATATTTACTAAATATAATTTGAGGCTAGGAGTTTGAATTACATACTAAATTATTATAGGATTTACAAAAAAGGCAAGTTTAAGGCCACGAAGACGATTGGATAAACGGCTTGTGTATATACAGTTCAAGGTCTTCTAAGAGCTTCTGCTGTGGACAGAAGATGTGGGCAGAAACCCTTCGAACGACTTTGCCTTACCTTAAATTATCACTTTGAGAAACTTTCCTATCGGTGCGGAACAAGTGAATTGATATGCGCATATATATGTATATGTATTTTGCCAAAACAGGGGAACATTGTCTATTATTATTCTTATTGTTCCCTTGGGTTCCTAGTGGAACATAGGGCTTCAACTGCACGTTTCCACTTACCACTTCTGTACTTTTCACCTGCATCCATGTTAGCCCATACTCCTCTTCAACTCTTCTTCACACGATCTCCTCCATGTCACCTTTGCACTGACGTCCCAACTGCCGCTTCCCATTCTGTCGGGTTCCACTCGAGGAATGGCCTGATGCGCTCGCGATGTCACCCAGTGGCGGCCTCCTCAGCCGCGAGTGTCCAATCCATCCATCTCCACTTTCTCCTTCATATTTGTTGTTGGGCGATTGGTTCTTGTTTTGTTCTTGTTTGTTCCCATAGCTAGTTTCTTGTTGGTGGTGATTGTTTCCGGCCCGGCCGGCCATCTGATCTTCATTCAGTATAGAGCCAGCGAAGACAGTTGTTGGTTGATAAAGGTAACGTCTGCAACAGGCTGTTGGAAATATTCTTTGTGACCCACTCGCCTGACAAGTTTCTGATCCGTATAGAAGAGCTGACTGACTGACTTGACGTTGTTTGTATTGAAAATTCGACGGAATTTTGTTGTTGATGGTGAGTTGAGTGACGAAGATTGGTTTTCCAGATTGGTTTCAGTTGGTTGATGAGTGATTGTGTTTCTCGCTCACCTTCCCGATTCTCGCTCGATTTGATTGACATCCTCATCCGTTCTGACTTCCTGGTAGTTGAGAGAGACAATTCTCCCTAGATAAGTGAGTGAATGAAGTAACCTCTTTCAAATCCCTGCCCCCGTTGATGGTGATTGGCTGCTGGCTGGATGTTGCTGTTGTTGGTTGGTTATTTTCATAACCTCCGTCTTGTCTATGTGTTCACCTCCGAGTGGAGTCCTGTCTTCGCTGGCTGCTTCTTCGAAAATTGTCTAACCTAATTATATAAATCGAATTCCTACAACTCAAATGTTTTTAAGGATATTTAATCGCTTAAAAACTAAAACAAAAATATCAATTCAGTTTCTCAATGTGTTGCGTCACGCACATTTTGCGATTGTTGATTAGTTTAATATCAACTTGTTTTTCTATTTTCTTCTTCTTCTCCTTCATTCCTGCATTATTAAAAGAACTAAAAAAAATGGGGTTGAAAAATAGCGCAAAACTTATGCGCATATGATCCTTTATTTTTATTTGATTAGAAAAGAAGAAATAGTAACATTGATGACATAACAGGTGTTGCGTTTGCTTTTTTCTCTTCTTCTGTTATTTGATGCAGTTATCATCTGTCTGTTTGTCCATGTCTCCCTTCCCCCTCTCTCTCTCTCTCTCTTTGTATACTCATTCGATGACGTCATAATTTCACTATATGCTATCATTAAACGTGTTGTTATTGCTCAACTCGAGGATATATCTATACCATACTACTTATATCCTCATCTCGTTGAAATATTTCTCTACTTTAATCTTTTTTCCTTTGATATTGTTTTTGTTGCATTGAATTCGATCATGGATCGATGACAGTTAGAGAAGCACTGAAAACCAGAGCAGGACCTTTAGGTAACTAGGGTCAGTTTACACCGTCTCTGGCGTAGACGTGATATCCGACTGGCTGTCGACAACCAAAAGGCGTGTGTACTGCTCAGCAGTCACTTCGCTCCGTCCTTCTTTATGACTGTGAGAGAAACATGGCCATTGGAAGTGGAAGACATGAAAAGTCTGACTGGCTGGCTAGCTAGCTGTCTTTGATCATTGGTGCCTGCGTTCTATCTCCTGTGTGTAGTGGTATAATAGGGTAAGGAATATTGAGGTTAGGTCTCAGTCGAGTGCTAGGTGAGTTGGAGGGGAAATCAATCGACGAGGCTGTGAAACTACATCTACTGAGATGGTTAGGACATGTGTTACACATGCCCAGTTTAGTCAGTGAAATCCACAATAGTCAGTTTAAGCCACATAGGAAGGTGTAGACTTCCTAGTTGGGGTTCTCGGGACGGTAAGAACCAATGGTGGTGGCTGGAGACATTTGGTGGTATGGCTGAAAATCGTTCTCGTTGGTGGTGCAGATGAATCAACACCTTGTGACTTACAATACCCAATGAAACTATATTGTTCTTCGTTATTAGTGTTCTTTTTATCTCATATCCCTGTCTTCTGTCTCTATTATACATTTCTTCTACTTTCGTCTCTTGTTTTGTGTGGTACATGAAGGGAGTCTGGTGATTCGAACTGGTGCACATTGGTGCAAAGTTCTATGTTGAAAATAGATAGATAGATAGATAAACAGACAGACCAGGGGCAAGCTTGTAGGGATCATTGAGCCATTGGGATTCGTTTTGGATGGTCTATGAACTCTAACTCCTCTACAAATTCGTGATTTTAACGCATACTGCTGAAAATCGACTCCAAAACTAGGATTGAACAACTGTCTAGTACTCCCTGATTTCCATTCGTTGTCTAACTTACATCAGTTTATGACTAAACTTGATACTAATTCCTATTGCCTCTTTGTGTGTGTGTATGCGTGTATGTGTGAATGTACAGCCAGTAAGTTGGTCACACTATGGTGTTGATTTGATATAAACAATGTGTTCCAACGGAATTTTTATTCTCACATGTTCCCACACATTGAATTCGGTATTAACAACAGAATACGATGTGATCTATTTGGACATTCTATTTGATGTTAGAGACAGAATACTATTTCCACAGTTATATACTGCATTAGCAACAGAACACTGTGCGTATAGGTGAACACTCCATTTCATGTCGTTTAATGTAAACCAAAACCACACGCTCAGTGATTAGTTAACGAATATAAACTGTAGATATATAAACAACGGTTTGATCAATTGAAAATATACCTTGACTTCCGTGTCTTGCCTTGTGTTGTCACAGTATGTCATGGTAATTCAAGGAAAATAGAAAACTATGTTATTTATTATACAATTCTAGGTAATAGGGGAAGAATCTATACTCTTACTGGAATATAGACAAGCTACCGAATCAGATGTAGCCCATATCTGTACAGACACCACTGTTAACCACCTCCTTTTAGCAAATATAAATTTCTTCGAATATGCTTCATTTGGATGCATTTTCATCATGAGCTGACGTCGGCTACAAAACCACTGGACAATCAACTGGGAGTACTGAACAGCCGGCTGCTTCGTCAGTCTATTTTAAGACTCTTCATCAGTACGCACCCACGGGGTTCTAACTCACGACCTTCTGGTTACAATGTAAGCTAGCTTGTAGAACATTAAGCCAGTGAGACCAGCCAATCAAAATGGTCAGTCAGTGCATGAATTCCAACTTCTGCCAATTCACTACATAGCGAAACTTGCGCTAGCGACTGGCCCTATTCAGGCAGTTGGTTACCTGGGGTTCTAGTGGGAAGTCATGACCAGTAGGGTACAGCAGGTTGGGCGTGAGGACAAATACTCACCTTCGATGACATTAGCTATTGTACGCGATATATTGTGTGTGAATTGGTAGAAGTTAAAATTGATGGTTTGGCCATTGGATCGGGTCCCAGTGACTGGTTGAATGGTCTACGGGCTAGTTCGCCTTGTAACCAGAAGGTCGTGGGTTCGGACCCTTTCGGTGAGTAAGTGGGAGTTTGTGTACTGTTCGCCAACTAACTACGTTCAATGTAAAAGATGTTATTACCCAACAAGCTTAGTAATAATTGTTAGGTGTTGAAGATCACCTGTAAAGTAAAATATATAAAGAATTTCGGTAAATTCAAAAGACGAGATTAAGTTAGACATAGGTCATAAGAAGACGTAATTTGTCTGAGTCGTTTATTGTGTATTTGCGCGCACAACACATTTTGAACAATCTGATCACACACACTCGGACTTGTCATAGGAAGATGTATATATGTGAAATGAATAAAGAGCTAAGAGGTGAGAAAATAAATTTAGGACATATTGAAGGTCAGAATAACAATGAAGATCAGCCACTAAACCAAATAACATTCAATAAATAGTACATCAAAACAAAGTTTTCCAAGGAAAGAAGGAAGGAAGGTTTAGTTAGTGTGATGACGAATTGTTGAACACTTTGAACTCATAAAAAGGTGGTTTAAACTTTTGAATTGCCAACTAGGGTTTCCACAATCTTTAGGATGCGCCCTATCCCAAACACGTTTTATAGATAGGCTTAAAAGACGTGTGTAAACATCAATTTTATGTCCTGTCTCTTCTGTAATATGTTTTTCATTAGAGGAGCTAAGTCATTGTGTGTTCTCACTATTCTTTAATGGGTTCTGAGGATTCTAATTGCTTCTGAAGCCATTTAAGAATGTGCTCTGAAGTCAGCCCTTACTTGCAGAGATCGATGAGTCCTCCCTTCTCTGTATATATATATATAAATGTGTGTCCACACGTACATTCAAATTGGCAAATACAACAGTGGGATGTGACATCACTTTTTGCATATTCAAAGGGCTTAGATGGATGGATGGATGGATGGATATATTAGCTTCACATTCTCAATTAATTATTACTATGATATTAGCTGCATAAAAAGTCTTTATAACATTAGTGTTCAATCTTTGTTTAGTTGTTAAGCTCTAATGATCCCCCATATAGAGTAGGTAGCTTGATGTGTATACGTCTTTCTCAGCTGGGAGTTGGAGAATGGGTCTTGGTGTTCTGACATTAAATTAATTGTTGTGTAAATATGTAATGATTAAAAAAGCAAAAGAATCACCACATCTAAAAATAGGTAATATACACGTATGTTCGCCGCAGATGTTGCTGACATCAGTAATATATCAGGTGTGTTGTGACTAAGTTACAATCATATTTGAAAAAAAAACCAACCACAAAAATAAACTAGTGTGTCGCCTCAGTACGATATCATCGTGTGTGCGTGTGACACAGAACTGAAAATTGATTACAGTGACGTAAATCTATTGCTTCATGTGATCACGGTTGATTATTCTGCCTTCGCCAACTTTCTTCAATATCTCAGTTACTAGTTTAAACGAAAGTGAATAGAATTCTCTGTTTATTAATGCCGTACAATTTTAGTCAATTGTAGCGTGATTTAAGAGGATTTCGGTGTTTTTATTACAGAGGGTTTAAAATTATCACTCTTTTCAAAAACGTCGGAGAGAGAGAGAGAGAGAGAAGGAGAAATTTAACTGTAAAAATCAATTTGATTTAGCTCCTTAGGATCGTATTATTCATCATTGGGTGGGGGCAGCTTTACTGTTGACTCACTCGTGATCTGTATTTTATTTGAGTGTTTAAAATACCCTACAGTATACACTGCATAAGTCACTGGAAGGTTATAAATATCTCGTGTGTGTGTGTGTGTATGTGCGTGTACCTAGTCCTTACATCGCAAACTGAAACTACCAGTCTGACATCTTGAAGGATTTAATTTGAGGCCGTTACACGAAGACCATTTACTAATTCCTGACAGAAAGCTGTTCATCTTAGTACAGTCTAGCTGGGAATTAACAGACATTGAAATAGTTAGGTTGTCCGCATACTCAACAAAGTTCACTTCATCATCAGAGTGAGGCAAATCACGCAAGAAGGAAGAAAACAGAAAAGGAGAAAAGGCAACTCCTTGAGGGACATCAGCCTCAGTAAGCAGTGAAGAGGCCGATGTCCCCCGACATACAGTATACTGCTTTCTTCCTGAGAAATAAGAATGCAGCCATTTTGACAACCCAACAGTCAGTTTGAGTTTCAGCAAGCTTGTTTAACAAAATATCACTAGGTACTAAGTCGAAAGCAGATGTGTAATCTAGGAAGGCTCAGGGAACAAATCTGGCCCCCTAGTCTAAGCTGTAGACAATTTTATGATACAAGACTGCAACTGCATCTAAAGTATTTCTACTGTGTTTATAGGCAAATTTTTCGAGATCATTAAAGGCTTTAAGTGAAGATTGAAGATTAATTAAGAGTAACTTTTCCATAGGTTTTAGAAAAGGAGAGGTAATAGTAATGGGTCTAAATTTAAAACATGTTCCACTAGACAACTTAGGTATATGCACAATTTTAATGTCCTTCTAAACGGCTGACACGACATTTCTGAAAAAAAGATTCATTAAATATGTCCATGAGAGGATAACACAGGATGTCTGTACATTTTTTAAGAATAACACTAGGCGAACCATCTGAACCGAGGCTACAAGAAGGGTTCAGAGACTGGAGACATTTTAAAACATCATTTGTACTGAAACCAGGGTAGCAGGTTTCATTAACACTTGTAACACTAGAAAGTTTGGCATTTGTGGGAGAATGTATGAAAGACTTGTTTAGTGTGCAAACATCAAAGGAATAAGGAATACTATTCATCTAGATATGATAGAGAAGATTTGTAGCTCAGGTGGATAATTTTGATGTGGTGTTGTTCTCTGAGCTGGATGGTTAGTTTACGAAGTTTTCATCGCCCTACTGGGTGACATCTTCAGCGCATACTTCAATTTGAAGTGAGCTTTTAGGTTTCTCCACGAGTTTATTAATTATTCCTCCTGGTGACCTTGGACGTGATTGGTTGTTTATGTGTGTTTTCACAAGAATGCTAGAAAATTTTTAGAAGCTTGGCATTCCAGTGAATCATCAATCAATAGACACATCGAGATAGACAAAATTTATCAACCGATAAGAAGAAGGAAATCTCACACACAATGGGTCAAAGTTCAAGTCAAAGAAACAATCAGTTCCAACACAAGTAACGTAGAAGGTGTGAAAACACACATAAACAACCAATCACGTCCAAGGTCACCAGGAGGAATGATTAATAAACTCGTGGAGAAACCTAAAAGCTCACTTCAAATTGAAGTATGCGCTGAAGATGTCACCCAGTAGGGCGATGAAAGCTTCGTAAACTAACCATCCAGCTCAGAGAACAAAACTACATCAAAATACTATTCATCTGCTCGGCACCAGTAATTTCTTTGAAAGCTTCGATATATTACAGGCATTTTTACAGGATATAAACTTTTGGTTGTAAATTGAATTCAATCTGTGCATTTCAGACTTTATTAGGAAGTTAGTTCTTTTCAAACCAGTATTATCCTTCATTTATATAACTTTTCTTTTTGCCTATGAAGCTTTTTAAGTTGAGGGGAGGAAAGAAACGGTCGAATCTGATGAAGAGTGTTTCTCTGGGACAACAGGTGTCAAGACAAAATTTGCGATAACATGTAATATTAGAGAGTCTTCACTAAACAAGTCCCATCTGGTGTCCTTGAGCATGCCCTTAAGATTCTGAACATTCCCCTTAGAGTAACATCCATGTATAATTTGCTCATCAAACTAGATGATTTACTGTTGTAGACAGTCAGATATTAGAATCCACATCCTTTTGTGTTCTGTAGTCAGAGATATTATCATCACTGAGATTTTCTTGACCACTTAACGCAATGCATTAGTTATGTAGTTAAAGATTATAGATCGTGTTGTCCATTGTCCCCATTCCTGTTTTTAATTTCATCTCAGGTGTATTCATGGAATCGACCCTGATTGGGCCAAGTTAAACCTTAAGCACCACTAACTAACTATCAATGGAGTGCGACCGCACCAATAACCTTGAAATGCTCACTGAGCAAATTAGTGAGACCTGGCAAATAATGTTGTCATCAACAATAAAATATGCTCATCGAAGTGTTATGTTATCTATTAAATGGGATATCTGTCAAGTTTCAGCTTAGTTTTGGGAAAGATTAAGTTTTCGCTTTAAGCCAAGGACAAGTTAGGGTTAGGTTAAACGTAATAAAGGCGACATTAGGGTTGGTTCGAGTTAGATTACAGTTAGTTTAGGGATATTTCCACTTTAGGGGGTAGGTTCAGGAAAGATCAGGGTTATTGTCAGAGTTAGAAGACCAAAATGTGGTTAAATTACTCTGTTGACATAAGAATATAACTTGTGCAGTGCGGTAGAGAATAATTCCATTCTGGGGTAATACGAGCACATTTTATTGCTCAGTAAACATTACTGCATAACACTGTGAAACTTTATCAAAATAAATTTTACCTACAATGGAGTTTATGCTCTTTTGATACTCCAACCTAAAACTGAGAGCTATTTTATCACATCTGAGAGGAAGGTATCCTTTGTAACACTTTTATACAGCTTTTATGCATTATCTTTCCATAAATATATGTATTCCATACACAAAGATGTTCTCTTCACGTGATTGGTGCGTTCAAGGTCATTCGCTGATTGATGGTAGTTAGTGGTGCTTAAAGTTTAACTCTGCCCTTGATTGACTTTAACGACCTAGGGAAGGATTGGACGACTCATTCGTTACTCGGGAGCACTCTTGTCAGTCAACTTAGATTATGCGGATGATATTATCCTCCTAGGTGTAAAGACGCTAACAAAATGTAGTCTCCTGAACACCTTGAGCGGAATTCTTTGAATATTTAGCATGTGTTTCATTCCCGTTGTGAATGTAAAATAATGCTTCAGGACCGGACTACACCAATTGGTAGCTTAAAAAAAAGGGAGTGAACTGGTAGTGTGTGTTGACCACTTTACTTATTCGGCAATTCGCATCAACCCCAATGGACTGATTGCTGGCTCGTGTGGGGCGTTTGATAACTGATGCCATCTCCGGCTATCAAACAATAGACGTGTGTACTTAGAATTGAATTGTTGGATGTTGACTAGCAGTGGAATCGAGGATGCTCATTTCATCCTATCTAGGACTCGTCATCTGGCTGTACCTGCATTCCCCAGTCAGTCAGTGATGATGTTTCCACCGAGGCTCGAACCAAGTGCTCATAGTTTCAAACGCCAAATCGGATTATCCACTAGACCACTCAGGCCACGAGAGCCACCCTGGCTCTTGTGTGACGGGTCATATTAATTATTTAATTGAATTTTAGATTTTTCCGTCCACTGATTGATTGGAACGAAGTGCTCAGTCTCAGGTTGACATGTCAGCTTCTTGTGCGGATGCTTCAACGATGTCTGGGCATTTAATTAGAATTTAATTTGTGGATGATGATTAGCAGTGGAATCAAGGATTTCCACCTCATGACATCTTCTCGATACGGGTCATGAGGGGTTATCAGGATTACTATAATTATTATTATAGTTCTCTAGACTCTCTCCTGTCTATCTCTGTGTGTTACATGGAATACGGTAACTTGAACTGGTGCATTTTTATGCAGAGTTCTTTGCTGAAACTCAGCCAGTCACTCAGCATGATGTATGACAATAAGTGATTGAAATTCAAAAAATATCTTTTCTTTTTCTTTTGTCTTTTTTTAAAAATTTTTTAGGGACTTCTTAGAATTGATTGGTGATATACAAGAATTGAAAAACAAGGAATACGCTGATGAAGAAACACGTCTACTTAGTCATGGGTAAGTCTCTCTGCTAAATAGGAGGAGATAAGTGATTAAATTTTCTACTTATTGGGGTTTTGTGATGAAATCCTCCTATCGCAGTAGTTCTTCAGCCTGTGTTCTGAATTTTGACAAGGTGTAATTTATCTGGAATGTGTTTTTTTTGTATATTTATTTGAACAATATTTTTTTTTGAAATTCTATAACCTTCTCAATGGCGGAACATGGGGGGGGGGCTTCAAGCTAGAGACTTGAAGCTCCTGTAGCGCAGTGGTAGTGTTTATTTTTACGGGATGGGGTTACTAGCCAGCCTTATGCCTAGCCAACCTTCCCTATTTACCAGTCTTATTACTTACTGACTTAGTGAGGTTAAAGGAGTGCGTCGTTCAGTGGCTGGGGGGGGATCTAACCCCGGACAACGTGAGGAGGCGGGGTTGGCGAGCATTATACCGCTATGCCACCGATGTACAATATTTGTGGGATATATTTCCGACAATCTGACCACACATACCAGCACTCATCATACCTTTTGACATACACAAAAGGCCAACAGAGAACATAAAGATTCAACAATTTTTCTATCAGTATGAGTCGAAAGGGTTTATAGGTCACATTCACAGGTGAGTGAGAGGTGCAGGAAAGTCAGGAGGTTGAAAATATTATCAAGTAAAACTCACTCTGATTGATTTTAAACTTGATTTGAACACATAAAATAGGTTCAGTTGTTTTGCGAGTTGATCACAGACTGATATCAGTTAAAGAACCATTGAAAACCAACACTGGAGTATTGCTAGACAGCTGTTTCATCAGCCTAGTTTGGCAATCATCGGCAGTACGCACCCACGATCACAGTTCGAACCCAGGAAATAATCTCGTTGACTTAGAATATGCAGATGATATAGTCCTTCTAGGTGAAGTGAAAACGCTGACCAAATAGACTGGAGTCTTCTGAACACTTTGAGCTGCAATCTTCGAATATTTTTTACACGCTATTCTTTGCCTTTGTCAAATGTAAGATGATGCTACGAGACTGGACTACATTGACTCCTTGAAGTTGTAGAGCGTGTTGACCACTTACATCACTTATTTGGGAAGTTGCATCAGCCAACGCCAACGGGTTGATCGCTGATGAAATCTCAGCAGGGATACTGAAGGCTCGTTTCACAAATTCCAGTTTACGCCATTTCTGGCGTAGACTTGATATCCGGCAGGTTGTCGATCAAAGGGTATGTGTACTGCTCCGGCTCAGAATTTCGCTCCGTTCTCCTTTATGACTGTGAGCGAGACATGGCCACTGCGAGTGGAAGACATGAAAAGCCTGGCTAGCTAGCTAGCTGTCTTTGATCTTAGGCGTCTACCTTCCGTGTGTGTTACGTGGTATAATAGAGTGAGTAGTTTTGAGGTAAGGTCTTAGTCTCGAGTGCTAGGTCAGTTGGAGGGGAAATCAATCGAAGAGGCTGTGAAGTTACATCAATTCAGATGGTTAGGATGTGTTACGCATACCTAGCCTAGCTATCGCCTTCATAGACGGGCAATGTTAGCTGACATAGGGTCAGGCTGGAAAAGAGCCAGCGGTGGTCAAGCCAAAACATGGTCAAACCAGTCAATGAAATCCACAACAGTTAGTTTAAGCCACGTAGGAAGGTGTAAACTTCCTGGGTGGCTAGTCGGGCTCCTCAGGACGGTAAAAACCAATGGCTGGAAACAATCGATGATGTGGCTCAAAATCGTTCTGAATGGCTGGAGCACATGCGTCCACTCCTTGTGACTTATGATTTCTAATGAAACTATATTGTTCTTCGTTATTACTGTTCCTTTGTCTCACACCTGTTTACTGTCTCTAATATGCATTTCTTCTACTTTCTTCTCTTGGTTTGTGTGCCACATGGAGTGTGGCGACTTGAACAGCCACACATCGGTGCAAAGTTCTATGTCGAAACCAGTCAATCAGTCATGTAAACATTGTTGAGGATAAGGCGATTATTATTTTTAGAAAAAAATGATCAGACTCCTTGTAGTTATCCTTAGAAAATGGCAAATTTATAGATAAACTGCCTTTTTTTAGGGGGGTTTGGGTCATATACTGAAATTCGTTGGTGATTTAGCCAACAAAAAGGCTTATAGCTGTTTTATGCAATCAAATATATTCAAATCTGGTTTTATCACTTTGATTACTGGCTGTGTTAATCCATTTGAAAAAAAAACCGAGGTTTATTTAACGTTGTGTCGTATATATTCAACGTCCGCCCTCCCCTCCCCTCCCAACCCACACGGACACACACGCACACCGGTTTTTCTTTGATCTTGACCCATGAACATTCTGCCCCCTCCCTTATTGATAGAAAATTTTTTTATCCCTTTATGTGTTGTGCATGTGTTGCGCATTACAGATAGATAAATGACGTCTTTTTTATTGTCTCACACTGGGAATTCATTAAGAGAATTAATTAATTGCTCTAAATCGGTTTTTTATTCTAATATGAATGAATGTTATTCCATAAAAGACCTGACATACAAATGACAGAAAATAGTATATGCATATATTGCATGAATCAAGTTGAAAGTGGCCGGTGAATATGATCCATCCATACATAGACGACCACCAGATTTACGATTAGCAATTTACACTGTTCGACAATGTGAAATTTCATCGTAGTGTGTATTACATCTGGGATCTGCTTAACACCGTAAGTGGTAATCAATAAAGCAAGCATATATGCATAAAACTATGTGCAACTGATCGACTGAGATGAGTACTTGTAGCTCAGGTGGATGATTTTGATATGGTTGTGTTCTCTGAGCTAGCTGGATGCTAGTTTATTTGTGAAGTTTTCATTGCCCCAACACTAGCCAACATCTTCTGCGCACCATAGTTCAAGTTGAAGTGAGCTTTTAGATTCCTCCACGAGTTTATCAGTCACCTCTCCTGGTCACCTCGAACGTGATTGGTTGTGTGTTTTCACACCCTCTAGGTTACATGTATTGGCAATGATTGTTTCCTTGACCCTTGAAGTTTGACCCTTTGTATGTGAGATTTCCTTCTCATCGATTGCCAAAATTTTACCTATGCCAGTGTGTCCATTGATTGACGATTCAGTGGAATACCAGGCTTCTAAAAATTCTCTAGCATTCTTGGTATTTCCTCTGTCTAATAATTGAACACTGGTTATTCCCAGTCGAATTGATATCCGTGGTTGTCTGTCTGTATGTAGTGAGGCGATATGAGGGAGTGAATGTCATGTCTTTTGACGGCTAGTTAGTTTATGATCATGGATACAAAGACGAAGAGGAGGGGCATCCACTTTCGTCAATGTTCACTGCAGTTGTTACAATTTATTTCGTAGATGAGATTTTGGTTTTATCTTCTTTCGCTGTTGAGTATTTCGGTTGACTCAGAGCCAGTTGAGTGAAGTGATTTTGTCGGCTTGTGTGCGACGTCAATTCCTAAAGGTTTGAAGAGTCTTGTAGTGATTTCTGAAATGTCCTTTATATAATAGTAGGACGATTTTCTTTGTGCTTTTTTTGGGGACGTTTTCAGAAGCCTGATATTCCAGTGAATTGTCAATCAATAGACACATCGAGATAGATAAAAATTCACCCCAATGGATAAGAAGGAAATCTCACATACAAAGGGTAAAACTTCAAGGGTCAAGGAAACAATCAGTACCAATACAAGTAGTGTAGAGGGTGTGTGAAAACACACACACACACACAAACAACCAATCACAACGTTTGAGTTCACCACCAGGAGAGATGACTAATAAGCTAGCTGGTGGAGAAATCTAGAAGGGTCACTTCAACAAATTGAAGTATGAGCTGAAATGAGAATGTTGGCGCTAGTGTTGAGGCAATGAAAACTTCTCAAAGAAATCATCCAGGTAGCTCAGAGAATACAACACCACATCACTCAGATCAATCAGTATTAGTTGCTAACCAGTTAATCGTAGCGATCTAAACTACAGATAATCATTTCGCTGGTTTTCAGCTGAGCTAATGATCCACTGTAATTCCTTATCATATATTAATCAGAGTTTGTCGATAGAAAGCCATGTCAGGCAATGTGACTAACCTCTTATCAAATAATTGCATTATGTATGCATTAATCAAAGAAGGTCTTCTGGCATTTTTGTCAGTATACGTATGTATGTGCGTGCATATTACTGAAGAGAGTGGAAAAAGAAAACACATAGTGTACACCAAATCAATTTTGATCGATAACTGTTAACCATGAATGTAATAAGGGAATCTTGGTAGTTCAGACGGTGGATGATTTTGGATGTGTTTGTATTCTCTAGACGAGGTGGTTTGATTGCAAAGCTTCCATATTAGATAAGATTACAGTGATGATGCAGTCTGCACAACTGGATTTCCAGAATAAAATTATTGCCAATCATAATCATATCAATTTTAGTCACAGGGTTCTACAATTTCTTCTCTCTCCAACTTCCTTTTGTTGTTTCTTGACACTTTCCTTATCTTCGGTATAAGCAATGCGTCGCGTCATTCCCATTTCATGTGTGTGAGGTGTTGAATCGATAAACAAAGCTTCAGTGATTAACCTCTCTCTCTCTCTTTCTGATATATATATCCATATAATATGTGTGTTTGTTTGATAGTCTGGTCTTGGTGACATGTATCCATATAAATTGTGTGTTTGTTTGACAGTCTGATATATTTCGCTATGTATATATGGATCGATATTCCATTATAATTAGCCAATCATGTTAAGACTGTCTATTGATTTGTTCATTTTGAATATTCGCTCACACACTTGCTCGGACATTCATATATATATTTTTTCTCTCACACTCTTGTGGGACACATTGATTCTCCTTGTGTTTGGAAAATAGAAGTACCATCGCAAACCTAGTGGTCTTTTGATTTCCGTCTTCTTGCGTCAGGACTATTAAATTCTCGACCAGTACATAACAATAATTTGGCGACAAGTACATAATACTTTCCACCTAACTACATTACTTTTCAATACTCTCAGCCTATCCCACCCACCCTACAATGTG